CAGGAGGCTCTTGGGTTTTATCATTCTGAAATAATTACAGACTATTTGGAGTTATGATGGATGCTAAGCTAATCTAGAGGTACCCAAGATTAAACATTAAATGGCTGGAAATGAGCAAAATGAGCATGCATTGGCTCTTTAAAGCAATTAGCCAAGAGTCACATGCAATGTGGCATTGTTTTTAACATACAGATCAAGGTCTTAACAATTTGTAAAATCAGCAGTATTTGAGATGTTGCATGTTAAACAATGAATAAATAAATGGTGACTTTTGTTGATGTAGTGGTGTTCAAGTCTGCCCTGTCTGGAAGAACCTTGCACTTAATCATTGCAAACTAAACTATACCATTTGAAAAACTGGAGATGATTAATACAACCATCTTCGGGATTTTGACATTCAAAAAATGTCCCCAATTTCACTCTAAGAACCATTAAAATTAAACATTAAGGTAATGAGAGAAAGAAGTCCTGGGAATGTACTGAAAGATCACTGGAAACCTCTCCATTGTAATTAGATTACATCGAGTCTGGACTCAGACTCCACTCACCCCATCATATCCATCTTTCTGCTTCATGAGGTTTGGGTTGAGTAGTCCAATAACGGTACCCGGCTCAGTCTTCCAGTGCTCTTTGTGGACTTTGTCAAACAGTAATAGAGATACAAACACTTCCAGGTTATGGAGATCATTCAGTTTCCAGATGCTGAAGGTTTTGCCCTGCAGAGAATAAGTGCTCATTCAGAAGATTTGCTGACTGAATTGTGGCTCTTGACTTCAGAGCATATCTGAACATACAACGCATCAAACCTTGAAGCAGATGGGCTAAAAGAGCAGAAGACATGAAAAAGGTCCACACGCTGTATTAAGCACCCAGCAATTATATCCAGCAGTAGAAGCAACATTTCAATCAATACAAGATCTTTGTCAGGCATTGTCAAACAGTTTTTCACAACAAAAAACATATATTCATATACCCCTGCTACTACTATGTCACTGCTGCTGCTGATTGAAAATGCTGAGAGTTTAATACACGTTGCAGACTGTTTTCCAGTTTTTTGATTTAAAGTTGATGTCAATCCAGCACCTGAATTAGTTTTTTGGATGTGCGTGTCCTGTTTTTTTTCTTGACTACAGCAGCAGAACACCACACCGGGTGCCACTCCTGTCAGCTAAGAACAGGAAACTGAGGCTACAATTCACAAGGACTCACCAAAATTGACAGTAGAAGATTGGAAAAATTTTGCCTGGTCTGATGAGTCTCAATTTCTGCTGCAACATTCGGATGGTAGGGTCAGAATTTGGCATCAATAACATGAAAACATGGATCCATCCTGCCTTGTATCTATGGCTCAGGCTGGTGATGGTGATGTAATGGTATGGGGGATATTTTCTTGGCACACTTTGGGCCCCTTATTACCAAATGAATATGTTAACATTTTCACCCCTTTACACCAACCCAGTACTAACATAGTGTACCAAATAAGGTGGTGAGTTGAGTGTACATGTTCAACATTTTACTGTTAGAATAAATGCCATTCATAA